CATGGCGTACATGGCACCTCACACTGGGCGTGGAGAGACTGGCACACAGAACCTGACACGTGGAGAGACAGGACCGGCGGCTCTCGTTCGCTGTGGCAAAGGGAAGTCACTGAGAGTCATTCCTGGTGATAACTAGTTGCGTCTGTGGAACAGCGAGTATCGAGCAACCAAATCTGTGTGGTCCGCATTTGTATTTCGGGTGATTCTGTGGGCAGATTGGGTTTGACGAGGAGTGAAGTTATGAGCAGAAAAAGCCACATTGTGTGTTTATATTTAGCCTGAGCTCCGGGCGGGACTTTTTTTATTATTATTTGATAATATTTATTCTGTCCCTGAATCTGAAAACGAATGTGCTCTTTCGCTTCTGTGATGCGCACAGCTGGTGTGGGTATAAAACATGGGTTATACCCGTGTGTCAGAACCCAGACTTTCCCTCCCACAAAGGCAACAGCTGAAACTCTTTATTCGCAAGAGTGGCAAAAGGGGATTTTAACGATCTCTCTCTCGCTGCTATATTATTGTGTGTGAGGTTATTTCACCCATTACCCCGGTCGCTGAGGCGGAGAATGGCTCATTCTTGTGTTTGGAGCCTTTGCCTCTTGATGGTGATGTCCGGGGCGCTGGCCCTGGGCTCCCCGGGTGCGCGGTTACATCACTTCTTCCGTAGAAAGACTATGGACACCCTGAATGAAATGGTGAGTGTACCCCTGGCCCTGAGCCACTGCCCGCGGGGGTCTGTATCTCACTACACCAGGGTCTGATCTCACTACATCAGGCTCTATCTTACTGCTTGCGGGGTTTCTATCTCACTGAAAACTTCACTTACAATAACTATTTTCCAGGCGCCGACGTTTCCAATTTCCTGTAGAGACCATGGAGGGAATCTCCTCCCGCTGGATCTGACCCGCCTTTGGGGAGGGATGGAGGTGAGTGAAGCAGAAGTTCCTCTAGAGCCTCATCCACTCTGCGACCTTCTTACGGTTACTCTTTGTTTACTTCCCAAATGCGCTCATATCTCAGCCCCAACCCTACCCCAACCCTACCCCAGCTCCAATCTCATCCCAGCCCCAACCTCAACCCCAACCCTACTCCAGTCCCAACCTCAAGCCAGCTGCAGTTACACAGCCAAGTTACACAGGACCCTGATTGTTATTATATTATTGTGTGTGTGTGTGTGCATATTTCGCTGCCCGGGACAGGACCGCTATTATTATTATATTATCGTGTGTGTCTATGTGTGTGTGTGTGTGCACAGCCCGGGAACAGGATCCTGACTTATTATTATATTATGTTATATTATTGTGTGTGTGTGGCACAGCCCGGGGATAGGAAGCTGATAGCCCACCGAGCGCTGCGTCGGATCCGTGCTATTTACAGCGGGACTTTGCACAACGCCACTTGGGACAGAGAGCGGACCGTTTTCTTCCGCACTCTCCTGGACGCTCAACTGGAGGATCTGAAGGAATCCCTGGGAAAGCGTCCGTCGCATTCAGGAAAATCCTGGAAAAATAGCGTTCGGAAATACTTCAGGAAACTGCGATCGTTTTTACGAAAGGAGGTAAGAATCTGGTCCGAATGTTTTGGCTTCACAACTGTGTAGGAGTGAGCGAAGGAGGTGAGCAACTGCTTTTGAACACTTAAGAGCTCTGGGACGCTACCGTGAGTGAGAGGCACTGTATAAAAGCAAGTTGTTGGTGGTGGTGTCACTGTCTGCCTGTCTGTCTGTCTGTCTGCAGGGTTACAGCACATGTTCATGGGCGGTGGTCCTCGATGGAACCAGAAGAATCTTACAACAACTCTACACTGAAGGCATGAATTAGCTACAGCCTCGACCGTCTATTTATTACACACACCGACAATTGCACTTATAAAATCTTTATTTATATTTTCCCACTTTCCCAGGGTCACTGTTAGAAATTCCCAGACCCCTTCCCGTCCGCTTTGCGGAGGCAGGTAATTGCAGTTGAAGTACAGAGCAGTTGTGATCTAATAGAATGGCGGAACAGGCTCTAGGGGCTGAATGGCCTCCTCCAATGTTCCTGTGATCTTGTGTCGCAAGTGCAGCCTTGTCTCGTCAAGCGGAGACATGGGCTGCTCCCAGTGGCTGGAAGTGGTAACTGCAAACCCATCTCAGTAATTCTGGTTCAGCAAGTGAAAAAGTGGGCTCACAGCACTAACCTGGGTCCTCAAACTAGTGCAATTTACAACAGACACTTGCCCGCACCCCCCCACCCCAAACACGTACATTATCCCTCCAACCTGGAGAGCAACTGGCTTGCAAGCTGGTTATTCCTGCAATCAGTGTTCCATTACCACCACTGGCAAAAATAAACCAGGATCTAATTTAATTAGGAATATTTAAACATAGGAACCATTCAGCCCATGAAACCTGTTCCACCATTTCCTGCCTTATACCACAATCCCTTGAAAACCCATCTACAAAGTATTTATTTACCTCCCTCGTACATATTTCAATTGACCTGATATCTAATTAATTTATTATTATTATTTGTCTCTTTAAACTAAACACAATTTGTTATGTGTGCGGATGTGGTACAGAGTATCAATATTAGCTACACACAGTGTAGTGGGACCAGATTCAGTTTGGTGAAGTGAAGAGTTACATTGAGGCCCAAACAGGTCCCACTGTCCTGGTGTTTCCAGGTTATATAAACACAGGTTGTTGTTGTCGTTGAAACGCCTCATTGAGTCGTTCAATCAGAAACTCGGAGGTGTTTCAATAGGAAGAAGGGATGAGAGATCTGCGAAGAAGACCAGTTGGTAGTTATTCTGAACCATCGCTGTTGTCCTCACTCCTGTTCTCAACAGTTAAATCGCACATCAAAGACAATGTTCCCTTCTCTTTGAAATAAAATGATTACTGTGAACCGTTGTTCACTGTCTTTTTTACGCCACTGACACATTGGCGATTGGATGAATGGATCAAATCCAAGTCTATCCCTGGGCTCCACATTGTGATGAGTCCCACAATCCGCTGTGGGTGATCCTCTGTCTGTAGTGTTAATATGGCTCTGGATTCCCTACCCGGGGGGGAGTGTGGGGGGAGAGGGGCGGGGGAGTTGGGGGTGAGTGTGGGGGGAGAGGGGTGGGGGAGAGGGGTGGGGGAGTGTGGGGGGAGTGTGGGGGGAGTGTGGGGGGAGAGGGGTGTGGGGGGAGAGGGGGGGGAGTGTGGGGGGAGAGGGGTGGGGGAGTGTGGGGGAGAGGGGCGGGGGAGTTGGGGGTGAGTGTGGGGGAGAGGGGTGGGGGGAGAGGGGTGGGGGAGTGTGGGGGGAGAGGGGTGGGGGAGTGTGGGGGAGAGGGGTGGGGAGTTGGGGGGAGTGTGGGGGGAGAGGGGTGTGGGGGAGAGGGGTGGGGGAGTGTGGGGGGGAGTGTGGGGGAGTGTGGGGGAGAGGGGTGTGGGGGAGAGGGGTGGGGGAGTGTGGGGGAGAGGGGTGGGGGAGTGTGGGGGGAGAGGGGTGGGGAGTGTGGGGGAGAGGGGTGGGGGAGTTGGGGGGGAGTGTGGGGGAGAGGGGTGGGGGAGTTGGGGGGGAGTGTGGGGGGAGAGGGGTGGGGGGAGGGGGGGGGGGGGGGGGAGTGTGGGGGAGAGGGGTGTGGGGGAGAGGGGTGGGGGAGTTGGGGGGGAGTGTGGGGGGAGAGGGGTGTGGGGGGAGAGGGGTGGGGGAGTTGGGGGGAGTGTGGGGGGGAGGGGTGTGGGGGAGAGGGGTGGGGGAGTGTGGGGGGAGAGGGTGTGGGGGGAGTGTGGGGGGGAGTGTGGGGGGAGAGGGGTGGGGGAGTGTGGGGGGGAGTGTGGGGGGAGAGGGGTGTGGGGGGAGAGGGGTGGGGGAGTGTGGGGGGGAGTGTGGGGGGAGAGGGTGTGGGGGGAGTGTGGGGGGGAGTGTGGGGGAGAGGGGTGGGGGAGTGTGGGGGTTCTCTCTGGCCCCGGGACGTGGGCGAGGTCCGGGCGCAGAGGTTGAGTTGGGAACTTGGTCCTCAGTCAGAACCGCAGAGAGATGACCACCGCCCGACAGTGACTGCGCTGCAGTGAGGGCGGCGGCCACTGGGCGGCGCTGGTGCCGGGGCTGCCGGGATACTGGAGGAGTGAGTGCGCGCGGGGTGTTGTGGGAAGGTGGAGACTCGGGCGGTGGATCCCCGGTGAGGCGTCGGGTCCGGGACTGTGTGCAGTGTAGTGACTGTGTACAGTGTAGTGACTGTGTACAGTGTAGTGACTGCGTGTAGTGACTGTGTGCAGTGTAGTGACTGTGTACAGTGTAGTGACTGTGTACAGTGTAGTGACTGTGTACAGTGTAGTGACTGTGTATATAGTGTAGTGACTGTGTATATAGTGTAGTGACTGTGTACACAGTGTAGTGACTGTGTACATAGTGTAGTGACTGCGTGTAGTGACTGTGTCCAGTGTAGTGACTGCGTGTACAGTGTAGTGACTATGTACAGTGTAATGACTGTGTGTACAGCGTAGTGACTGTGTGTAGCGCTTCGGGGACGCTACCCCACACGTGGGTCGCGATACAAATGCAAGTTGTTGTTGTATCGTGTAGTGACCGTTCATTTAACGCTCGATACTGAGGCCCAAACAGCTGCCACTGTCCCGGGTGTTTTCAGGGCGTTATATATAAACACAGGTTGTCGTTGTCGTCGTTGTCGTCGTCTGAATTGCTTTTCTCCGAGTCGTTCAATCGGAAACTCGAGGTGTCCGAATCGGGAGAGAAGGGACGAGGGATCGGCCGAGACGAACCGGGAGTCGGGAGAGAGAGAGAGAGAGAGAGAGAGAAACTCTCCTCTCTTTACCCGACGGCTCCCGCCCGGGGAGATAGTTAACTACCACCGTGACGGGGAGCGAGGTTTTAACGTCTCATCTGACAGCCGCCGTCTCTGAGCGTGTGGTGCTGCCCATCCCCCCACCCCCCGCCCCCCCCCAACCCACCCCCAGCGCTGGAGCGTCAGCAGCTTGTCGGGAAATCGGGATGTCTTGTCCACAAGGGTTTAGAAACTCTGTGTCCTGGTGTTGAGCAATTTCCTGCTGTGACGGGGAACTGCAGGGGAGGAGGTTGCAAAGTGGAACTGTGTTGGTGTTGCAGGCTAGTGAGCACACGCGCCCACACACACACGCATACACGCACACGCGCCCACACACCGCTTCTCGACGCTTTTGGCCGGAGCTTCGCCAAAGCTGAGCTGTCCCTCGGGCGGGTTCTACAAGTGCTGAGAGGTCCCCGGAGCGCAGCAGCCGTTGGGGCAGCGTTGGGAGTTCGAGGTCTGGTCATTGTTCTTCCTGTGATCCTAACCCCCATGTCTGCGTCTGTCTCTGCGTCTGAAGGTGACGTCCCTCAAGCGTCGGAGCAACCATGATTTCCACCCAGCCGCCCGAAGGCTGTGTTGGGCCCAGAGAAGCAAAACAGGTAAAAGGGGAAGTCCCTGGTGCAGCTGACAGATAAAGACGGTGCGGGAGTGGGGGGGTTGGAGGGGGTTGGAATGGTTCCGCTTTCGTTTTGTGTCATCGCTAAGATCTGGCGGTGGGGAAACTGCCAGCGTTCTATCGTGAATTTAAGCGAACTTATGGTACAATGAGGAAGGTGTAGGGTGGCCTTGGGGACCTGAAAGGCAGGCGCTGTGTGAATATTGCACTGTAATGTGACAACCAGAGCCATAAGGAAAAACAAGATGTCCGGAGTCCAGTGTCCCAAGGGACGTCTCACTCTGCTTTTAGTACTCCCATCGAGTTGGGACATGTGTGTTTCAGAATGACTGTACAATACAGACTTTCATTGTTGCAACGGCGTCTGGGAAACAAAGCTGGGATTGATGAAGCTTTCGCTCAGCCGTCCCCCTGTGTCTAAACTTTGGGATATTTGGGGGAGTTTATTTCTCTGCAGCCTTGACATTATTTTATAACAATAATAATTGTTGCGTTCCATCCGGCGGCTTTCATGTCGGGAAGATGACTCAAAGCTCTTCCTAAGATTTACCTGTAAAGCGCAGTGACTGTGAACTTGTGCTGCCTTGGGGTGGGGGGGCTGGTGGGGGTGGGGGGTGGTAGGTGGGAACGCTGGAGCCCCAGATGGGACACTGGACTCCTGCAGCGTGTACGAGCGTCTGTAGTCGCTGCGTAAATGACGTGAGTATCCGGTGCTGGGGCTGATTGTCCGCCTGTTGTTTTCAGTGGATAAAGAAGAAGTTGGCGAACTCGCTGAAGTGCCTGCAGAAGCGTTACGTGAACTCGGACAGCGTGGTGAGCAGCGAGGACAGCGATGCCAACGACCTGTGCTGCGCCGTCGAGGCCGTCTTCGTGCACGGGCTCCAGGCGAAGCATGTGGGCACGGAGGGCGGGAACCGAGGGCGCAAGGCAAACCGTGCGGCTCTGCCACAGCCTGTGTTTTGGTCTTTGCTGAAGTCAGTCACTCACAGGTTAGCTGCTCCGCACAATAAATCCCCCCCGCTTCCCCCCCCCACCCCCCTTAGCTTATTGTGGTCGCTCACAAACCGCACTTATCCAAGTGAAACTACTACAGAGAAACTCTTTCCTCTGGTGGGGGCTGGGTGGCGGGGTGGCGGAATCCAGAACAAGAGCATCATCTTAACATTAGAGCCTGGCCATATTTTAGGAATTAAATCAGCAGCAGTTTTTCACCCAAACGCCTGGAATCTGGAAACTCTATCTCTCTCTCCCCCCCTACCCCCAAAAGGCTGTGGGTTATGGCTGGATTCATTCACATTATCCAGACTGAGGTGGAGAGATATTCGTCAGGTCAGGGTATCAAGGGATTTGGGGCAAGAGCGGGTAATTGAAGTTGAGGTACAGATCAGCCGTGATCTTGTAGAATGCCGAGGAACATGCTCGAGGGGCGGGCCTTCTGCCTTCTGTTCCTAAGTGAGCCAAATTATTTGGACCGGGTGTGGGATCTCCGCAGGCTGTGTGAGGTTTGCCAGAAAGAGACTACCCAATACAGGTAGTGTGATTTCCAGATCTTTTAATATCGTACACAATTCAAAAGTTAATGCTTTTAGCACATGCAATTATTAAATCATTAAGTTACATTAAAGCAGTGAGATTCAACGAAACCGACATTACCCGATTCCGTTGGGGAAGTCGCCCGCCTCCAGCTGCCTCACAACTGTTCCTCTTACAGTGATTCCAGCTATTCCAAAGTTATATCTTTTATGTGTTTCTAACTCCATCTCCCCTGGTCTCAGACATAGGCCACACACTTTGCAGGCTGCTCGCGACCTTGAGCAGGCTCTGTTCGCATGGGAAAATAACTGATAAGGAGAAAGAGGATATGGACAGCTAATTGGGAGGATTCCTGTTTCTTAGTCTTGAGCTAATGAGATGTCCATGAGTGTGCTTCTCTCGCTGAGTCTCCTTGTTTTCACATTTGTGCTCAAGGACATGATTACTCAATTCCTAGACGAGAGGATGACATCGACTCAGACACCGAGCGAGGGAAAGTTATCAGAACCTGACCTCAGCCGGGTCAAGCCAATATATCTTCAAATTTGCTAATGCTAACTGGCGAATGTATCCTCTCTCGGGCCGTCAAGTCAGTCATTAAAAACACACAGCCTTGTCTATGCCCTGATAAGTAAGGAATGCTACATTAAACAGATCACAAGTGTTTGGTTATATTTTAAAAGCATAGTAATTAAAAATCTTACCAACAGTAAGCGTCACTAATATAATCTCACGGCTGCGCGTGTGCATTGTGGCTGCACTGGCAGTAACGGCCTGTGATCTGATTGCAGAATCCTGACCAGATTGTGCAATACTGAACTGCAATAACTACCCCCCAAGCTCGCAGAGTCCCGCTGTCACACTGTGAGCCTCCGCCTCCACCACAGACACAGATTACAGTAAACTCACTTCCTCAAGATTAGCCAAGATTTCAAAAATTGATTTCAATCAGAGTGGAACGGAGTAAACGCGAATGTACAAACCGTGTTAGCGCCTCAGGAATCAAACCCAGATCCTCTTCACTTGTGAGGCGTGGGGGCAAATCACTACACTACTGGACTGCTATAAGCTAAACGTTGGTCTCTTTCTGTCTCTCTCTCTCTCTCTCTGTCCCTCCCTCCGGAGCAGGAACGTGGTGACCGAGCTGGAGAGGCTGTGCTTTATCAGCAGTGACGTGGGCCGTTGTCGCGCTTGGGTTCGGCTAGCACTGAACGAGGGGCTGTTGGAGTGTTACCTGGTGTCCCTGCTGCGGGAGAGGGAGACGCTGTGTGATTACTACCAGCCCGTGGCTCTGCTCCTGGATATGGAGGAGAGCGAGGTGCTGATCAGTTACCTGCAGGGCCTCGCCTCCCTCTCCTTCGAGCTCTCCTACAAGTCCGCGGTGCTGAACGTATGGACCACCTCGCCCCTGGCCTGGGCCGGCCTGTGCCCCCCACCCGCCGTGACTGAGCTCGAGCCCCCCAGCTCGCCCGCCCCCAGGAGGAGAGGCTCCTGGGATTCCACCTCGCCTTCCGACAGCTCGGACGTCGTCAGCGTGACTCACATGGGCTCCGGCAGCTCTCTGGCCCCCGGCGCTCGACACTCGGGCAAAGACAAGCTGACCTCCTCCTCCCTCAGCCTGGAAACCACGGGCTCCTCCTCACAGCTCTCCTCCAGCCTCAGCTCCGACAGCCTCCCCCAGGCCAATGGGGTGAGGAGTCCCGAGCCGACGGCTGAGGAAAACTGGCCATGCGACCTGGACCGAGAGATCGTCAGCTCGGAGGCAGCATGCAGGTCTCTGTCAGAGTCTCTCTCTCCCTCTCTCTCACACACATCACTCGAACCTCCCTTCAGCCCCCGCCAATCGGAGGTCGCAGCTCCCCCCCCTCTCCCACCCCGCCAGCGCCTTGGCACGTCCTCCCGATGTGGAAGAAGCCATTGTGTAAATGTCAGTTGTTGTTGAGGCGCAGTCTGGGTTTCGGTCACTGATGCCATCGGTGTAGCACGGTGTGTTTAGCTGCTCAGGGTCGGGTTCGGGGTCAAGTTCGGGGTCAGGTTCAGGATCGGGTCTGGGGTTGGGCTCGGGTTCAAGTTCGGGGTCGGGATGGAGCGCTGATGATTGTGCTTGTGTTTGAAGGCCGCCAGGGGGTGTGTTTTCCGCGACCGGGACAGGGGATTGTGTGACGGATTGCGTCCCCGAGGCAGAGTCAGGATCACAGCCGCCCGGCTCGCCCCTTGACTCCCAGCCGAGCTCCGAGACACCCAGCCCGGAGCCTCCAGCATCACCCGAGAGCGACGCTCCCATCCCCACTGAGCTTCCCAGCCTGATTCCCCGCTCCACGTTGCCCGGGGGCAGCGGCGCAGTATACCCCAAGCCCGAGGCACTGGCAGGCGATGAAGAGCGAGCCGGTGAGAGGGAGCTCGGAGCCGCAGGGGAACCGGCCAACGGCTCCAGCGGCTGTTTGCAAAATGGTTCGCACCGAGCGGTTGAGCCCTCAGGCCTTCACGTGAGTTATGTTACTGTGTGTGATTCTGGAGCAGCCTCACTGTGTGTGTGTATGTGTCTGTCAGTGTGTGCGTCTGTTAGTATGTGTGTCTGTTAGTGTGTGTGTGTGTGTGTGTGTCAGTGTGTGTGCGTCTGTTAGTATGTGTGTCTGTCAGTGTGTGTGTGTATGTGTGTGTGTGTGTCAATGTGTGTGTGTCTGTCAGTGTGTGAGTCTGTTAATATGTGTGTCTGTTAGTGTGTGTGTGTATCTGTGTGTGTGTCAGTGTGTGTGCGTGTGTTTGCTCGCTGGCTGTATGTTGATACTCTCACCTCGAGGGATGTGTGTAACAGTGAACTTGTTTTTTTCAGAAAAGCGCGAGCTGGATTTCTGAGGACGATATCTGTCAGCCGGTGTGGGGTGAGGAGCCAGAGCCATGGCCCCAAACCTCACCACAGGAGAACGGCACTGACCTCTCTCGCCCGGCCCTGGACCTCACCGGCCCTCACCACGGACACGAGGACAAGCTGTTCGAGGTGACGCATCGACGGAAAGCAGGTAAAAACTCCCTCGGCCGTGTATCTGGGATGCGAAAGGCGCTGCATATCAATATAATGTATTGCTCTGAGCTGAGCTGCTGACCCCAGGGGCTGGGCTGTCTCTCCTAAGCGATGAATCGGAACATATTTGCTGGACAAAGAGAAGACCAAAGTCCAGTCGAGTTCGCCTTCCACCATCCCGGCAGTCGCTCGACATGTCCTGACATCTCACTTGTTCTTGAAACAAACAACACCGTCTGCTTCCACTATACATTCGTCCGTCCGTCTGTCCATCTCCTTCCCTCCCTCCCCCCCCCTCCCTCCCTCCCTCCCTCCCTTCCTTCGGGAGCCTATTCCACACGTTCGTTGCTCCTCGCTGATCATTTTCCTTGTGGTGCGTCGCACTCTCTGCTCCGACCAGGAATCTCCAATCCGTTCCGCGGGCTGCTGAAGCTGGGGAACCTGGAGCGCCGCGGGCCGGTTGGGATATGGAAGGAGTTTTACTGCGAGCTCTCCCCGTTCGAGTTCCGGCTGTACCTGAACGATGAGAGCCGGACCTGCTACGAGAACTGCTCGCTGCTGCGGTGCGAGGCCGTGTTGGCCCTGGGCGACGGCAGGTTTGAGCTGCTCTGCTCCGGGCGCAGGCTGTGCCTGCGGGCGGCCTCTCCCGACGAGGCCGAGGACTGGACCGACAGGATCCGGGAAGCCTTGGTAAAATGCCGGCCGCAAAATGCTTCCCAGCGGGCGGGTGGGGCTCGGCCCAGGGCGGCCCCGGGGGGAGAGGAGAGACAGGGGCAGCGGCCGGCAGCTGAGACCGCCCCCCGGGAGAGCCTCTCGCCGGATTGGGTCTGCAGGAGCGAGCCTCAGTTGGATGCCATCAAGGAGACGGTGCTGTGCGTGCTGGTGGGCGAGCGCTGGCTGCCCTGCGTCTGCTCGCTATCGCTCGAGGCTCTGATCTGCTCCCAGCTGCGGGGAGGGAAGCGGGAGCTGGTGACCAGCTGCCGTACGGACAGCTTCCGGGACGTGGTGCCGGACACGGCCCTGGGCGGCCCGGCCTACTTCAAACTGGTCACGTCCGGCGCCGCCCTGCAGCTGCAGGCCGAGAACGGGGAGGAAGCCAGGGCGTGGCGGGAGCTGATCCGGGCCGTGCTGACCTGTCACCGAGAGGCGGTGGACGGCGTGGCGGGGGAGGAGGGAGCTGACGAGAGGAATGGCCAGAGGCTGGTGCAGTTGGGTCTCGGGGAGTACAGCCCCCTCCTGCGCTGCCTGACCGCAGTGCCCAACGAGAGGGGCCTGGACCAGCAAAATCAGCAGTGTGCGGGTACGCTTCTCTCTCTCTCACACGCTCGCTCGCTCACTCACACTCACTCACTCCCACCCTCCCTCACTCACTCACTCACTCACTCACTCACTCACTCACACACACTCACTCACACACTCACTTACACACTCACTTGTTTCCTTTCTCCACAAGCCTCTGTTTACCCAGCAATAAGTAGGAACTCGGTTGTTAGTCAATTGGCGGATCGCTTTTCCGGGGGTAATAAATACTTCAAAAAAAAATATTAATAAATTGGTCATTTCAATCCATGACTGTTTGGGGGACGCTGCTGTGCGCAATTGTCCCACTTTACAGTATATCCTGTGAAGTGCTTTGAGATGTCTCGAAGACGTGATAAGGCGCTATATCAAATGTAAGGATTATGGTTATTATTATCTCAGACTTATTGCTTCACATTGTCAGCGGGTTATGACCAGAGATGAGCAGGTTTAAGGGAGAAGACCGGTTAGGTGAGGTTAGAAGATTTTGAAGCCTTATTACATCCGAGTAAATAATACTGGATTATGTTCACTGCTCAGTGAGTCAGTGATTTCAGATTGTGACAAAGAATTATAAGGGGAAGAATAGAGAATCTCTCTATACGATTGACACATCTGTTGGCATTTTATATTCACTTAGTCACTGCTCGTCAGTGCTGTTCAGTGTACTCCACCCTGCACATGTCAGACACCTCACACGTCTGTTTACCGAGCAGTGAGTAGGAACCCGGTCATTAGTCGATTGACTGATTGCTGTTCTGTGGGCTAATAATCCCTTCAAAATTCCCAAATAAATAAAATAATTTGGTTACTCAATCCATGACTGTGTGTGGCGGACGCTGCTGTGATCAATTGGCTGCTGCGTTTCGCCCACAAAACATACAGTCACTTCACTTTGCAGTGTATCCTGTGAAGCGCTTTGAGACGTGTCGAAGACGTGATGAGGCTGTTTTAAATGCCAGGATTATTATTAATATTATTATTATTATTGTGCTGTGTGCGTCACTCAGGCTGCCCCAGGCGGATCGGATTTTCCTTTGGGAAGTTGAAACTCTGTGCCTTTTCCGGCCTGTATTACTGCGAGAGCTGCCATCATGACACCGAGGTCATTATCCCATCCCGAGTGATCCATAACTGGGACCTGAAGAAACGAGGGGTGAGTCCAGCAGTTTACCTGCACTTTGTGTGGTGTGTTCTGCGTGTTCGTGCGCCCGCGCGTAATGTCTGCACGTGTGATCCGTGTGCGCGCCCGCGGGCCGATCAAACGCTCGCTGATCGATAGCTGATCGCCGGTCGGTAGCTTAACGCTCGGCCCCAGCGCTGAGCAGCAGCTGAGGTTCTTGCTGAGCCGGTGCTGAAGCTGAGAGGCGTCTCCGGCGGCGGTCGAGGCCGTTGTTTGTGCGGAGGGCGTTGGCCACGGAGCTGGAAGTCAGCGTTTCTCTCGTTGCGAAGGTGTGTGACACCGCGGCGAGGTTCCTGCAGCAGATCGGGGCCGAGCCGTTCCTGGATGTGGTGAGGCTGAACGGGAGCCTGTACCAGCACGTGGAGCAGATGGCTCAGGCCTTGAGGAGCCGCGAGAGACTCAAACTCCTGGAGGAATATCTGCTGACTTGCCGCAGCGGAGCTCTGCAGGAGCTGTACAGAAAGTAAGGCCCCCCCCCACACCCCCCTCCCCTCCGCGCTCTCTCTCTCCCTGCCTCTCTCCCCCTCTCTCCCTTTCTCTTCCTCTCCCTCTCTCACTGTCTCTTTCTCTGACTCACATTCTCTCTCTCCACCCCACCCACCTCCCTCCCTCTTCCTCTCTATTTCCCTCTCTCTCTCCCCCTCCCTCTTTCTCTGTCAGCAGCTGGTTCACTCACTGACCCACTCCCCTTCTCTTGCGAGTTAGCCAACATACCTCCGGCGTCAACGTTGTTCTTTCTCCTGCAGAATCGATGGGAAAAATTACCTGCTGGAGTCTCCTCACCTGTACAGTGTGTCCGACCTTCGGCTGGTGAGTGTCAGGGTCCACACGATGCTCCCCACCCTGTCACACGACTGCTGAGAACACGGTCAATCCCACCTCCTGCCCCCCCCCGTCCCCCCCCCCACTCCCCCATGCCCACATTGTGCTTGTGGTGCTTGTGCACATTGGTGAGGGGTTTGACTGACATCACAGTTACTGGGAGTGCGAGGCTCTGGGCTGGGGGGCTGGTGTTGGGGGGCTGGTGGTGGGGGGGCGAGCAGGAGGTGGGGGGCGAGCAGGAGGTGGGGGATCGAGTGGCAGTGGCCACCGTCACTCTCTGCTGTGTTCCGCATCCTGCAGATAGCCCGCGGCGTGTTCGAGGCCTTCCTGCAACACGCCATCCAGTTCGCCAGTAATCACGTCTACATGTGTGACCTGTGCACACAGCGCGGCTTCATCTGTCTGCTCTGCAACTGCGACGACATCATCTTCCCCTTCGAGTTTGAATCAACGACGAGGTAAAAAGGCTGAAGGCCCACGGTCTGTGTGGCACATACACGTGTGTGATGTGCGTGTGCGTGTGTGTGTGTGTGTGTGTGTGGCGCTCCGACACACGTGTGGATGGTGTCTGGCGATGGAGCCACTCGGTGCTGATGGCTGACCGTTTCCTCTCTCTTACAGGTGCCGAGACTGCAAAGCCGTCTTCCACAAAGTCTGCAAGGCCAGCGAGCCCTGCTGCCCCCGGTGCGAGTGGAGACAGAGGCACCAGGAGCCCGGCCCGGTCCATTAGCCTCTGTTCACTACTGCAGTCAGAGCTAGAGCTGGGAGGGGGGGGGGGGGTGGCATGTCACACACATACACACACACACACACACACACAGACACAAACACAGACACAAACACTACATAGACACCGCACACACACA